TCACTATCCACTAGCAAAGGTGGCAGTGTCAAGTCCTGTGGCCTTTCAAATAGCACATCTGTATGGTAATGTCTTAGCATTCCTGGTATGACTAGAAGAAGCCCTAGTGAGGTGGTGTAAAATTTGACAGCCTCTGATTTTGCTAGTGGAATGATCCTCTGTCCAAGCCCAGAAATGGTGCTGTAATCTTGTTCCTTATGAGGCACCAGAGACTAAAGGGACTGATCCTGGACACAAGGAAGTGGAACTTTGGGCTGTGCCTGCCCTACAGTAATCTGTCTGAAAGGGGAAAGTTATCTCACTAGTGTGCTCTTAAAAGGGATGGGGTTGTAGGATGCATAGTGCTGCCAAAGAATTATGTGGCATTGGGGTGCCACGCTCCAAGGCAGCAGGACTTTTCATTCCCTCTTTGAGGTTGAGGAGGGTCCTTGGAGGAGACACTAGAGCAGGCCATGTTGTGGAGTGATGAGAAGCTGTACTCTTTAAACTGACTCCCAGCTCTATTTCTAGAACACCTTTTCTTCCTGATCTAATTTAAAATGATCCACACTGAAAGCTGGGGCAAGTGCACAAAGAGAGCTATAGTGAGTACAAGTGGTTCCTTGAGCAGGAGAAATGGTCTGCTGGGGTCCCTCTGGACTCCCTAGACAGTACCAATGGAGACCTGCACTGATGCAGAAACCAGCAGTAGGACCAGGCTAATGCAGCACTTGGGTTTAAGTGTCCAGCCTGATAAGGTCAATGTGTGAATTCAGCTCAGTATAGAAATCAGGCAAAAGTTTTGCTTTAGTTCCAAACTAATCACCAGTTCCCTATTTCGGCTCCACTAGTCCTACTGTTCTGTTTGCTCCATTTTCCATCCCTGAAGCAGCAGATTTTTCTGTAAGTAGTTTCTGCTGCAGCCTTTGGGCTGGGTACTACAAACTGTGCTCTTCCAGGTCCAAACTCATCTGTTGCTAAACACTTCCCTGTGTCTGAAACAGAGTGGGCAGTTTATCAGATAACCCGTAATGACAGTCATCGCTAGGAAAATCAAGGTCAAGCTGTTTGGCACAGACACTGTGGTGAGGGGGTACCCAGGAATCTGCCATGCCAAGACTCTGGCAGGCTAATTTTAGCAACTGAAACTTACTAGAGCATGGAGCAGTAAAAACAAGCCGTTGCACCCAGCGGGTAGGCTGGCTGTAAGTAAGCTTTACGCTCTCTCTGGTTCTGTCTGAATCCATTGCCTGTATTTGATCCTGCTGTAATTTAAACACCTGTCTAGCTGGAATGTGTGAAATATCCTTACCCTTCACACTCGGCTTTTTTCTCACCTGCTTTGCCTGGAAAGACAGCTTTAAAATAAACAATATTAGGATATCAGAGAGAAAAATGCACTAAAGTATCAGATGGGGGGTGGAGAATTGTACACATCCTATAGTGTTTGCCTCATCCACCTGTTCTCTCTTGTCTTTATAGACTGTAAACTGTTTACGGGCAGTTACTGTCATTTATTAGATGTTTGTACAGCACCTAGTAAAATGAGGCCCAATCTTGTTTGTGATCTTTAGCTGCTACCATAATATAAATGCTTCATATTTATACAGAGCTACAGAAGGGCTCAGTGTTTGTTCTCTCAGAAGAAAGTCATCAAAATAACACTCTTTGTTGTTATTGGTATAGGCAGGGCTGGTACACCAACTAAGTTGCATAAGACTTCCCATAGAAAGACCATGTTTTCAGTTGCTTATAACTTTGCCAAACTTTAACCATTTGGGCTGAAATATTCCATGGCAGGCATCTGCCTCAGGCTGAATTTTTGGGGGAAATTTTCAGTGAAAATGCTTATGTTTTCAGAGAAATGAAGCTAGGAGAAATATGTTGGTTTGTGCATGTTTAAAAAATCTGGCAGTTTTTTATTTGAGATGCTCTAGTTTCCCCATGCTTTGGAGCAGGGACTTGAAATTTGGCAGGTGGGTGGCTGGCCTTTGCATCATCCCTATGAAAATCTGTCCAAATTTGGCCAAATTATAAGCCTTTGAAAAACTACAGTTTGAATATATTCATTAGAGATTTCATAGATTCTAGCAGCTATATTCCCTGAAGATTCCATCCATACTGAAAATGCTCCATCTTGGGGCTTAACAGGACTTTCTCTGTAATTGCAGCTCTGGGCTGCTGTGGGTTAGGCCAGGGCTGGGCACTGTAACAGAAAGTGGGGAGCTTGTCTCTCCTATATTCCATGACCACCTGCTAGGCCCAGGCAGCATGGAGGAGGAAACTGCGTGACTCAAATGCAGAAAAATGAGAGTTAAAGTTGGGGGTGGGGAGTAAATAAATACAAGGAGACTGGAGGCTCATGGGGGGAAGAGGAGAAAGTGGGACTGGAAGATGGGATGATCAGGAGACTAGGATTGATTGGGCAAGGAGACTGGGTTTGGGAACCAGTGGGGCAGTGGGAAGGAGGGAAAACAGATCTGATGAGGAGCTAGGATGCAGGGAGAAAACTGGGACTGAACCAGCAAAGAGGGTGGGACAAGGAGCTGGGAATGGACAGTAAGGTTGGGTTAGGAGCCTGGAGAGCAGGCACTGAGAAGTGATGTCCTGGAGGAGACAAGCGACTGGAGACAAGAGGTGGAGAAAAAGAGACCAATCGAATGAGGAGCCGGGGTGAGGGGAGCTGGGCTGACTGAGCAAGTAGAGGTGGGGTTGAGAGTCTGGAGCAGAGATTGGGACTCTGGAAGGATGAGACTAGGTATTCTTGCGTAAGGAGACTGGGACTGGAATGACAAGCCTGAATAATGGAGACGGGGACTGGCTAAAGTAAGGAGCTGGGGTGGGGAAGAGACAGGACTGACAGGGAATGGGACATAAGGGGTCAACTAGGGGGTATGGACAGAAGTGTCTGTGCCCACTAGTGCCCTGTCCCCCTCTAGTGCTGGTCCACATAGAGGATGACATCCTACTACTGCTCTCAGTTACTCTAGTATCTCAAGTGACAGAGATCTGGGCAGTGGATGTAAAGGTTCCAACCCTGCTGATGATCCATGTGATTTTTAATATGGTGCCATATGGTGGAATTTGTGGGGGAAGGGAGGGTGTCAATTTGTTTTTTAAAAATCTAGGAAATTACACACACAAAAATACATTAAAATAACACAGTTACTGTTGCAGTATCAAGCACTCAAAAGTTAGAAAATGCCAGAAGGAAGGTTGCCTTTGCAGCCTTAATTTGGCCCACTTGTGTGTATGCATTATGATGGTCTTTAATTACATGATCACATGCTGTTTTTTCCAGAGGACCCATCTCATTCAGTGCACAGAACAGATGGCGCTTACTTAATGAGCTACTATTCAATATTTTGTCCTCTCCTCATTGTTCAATGTGTGGCCCCAGGCCTTATTTACTGTACACTGTTCAAACCCTGCTCTGAAGACAGAATTATTACTTTTCTCAAAATGGGCTTTTCTCAGTGCTCTCACCATAGTATCTGAGTTCTTGACAAACATTAATTAATTAATCTTCATAACCACTATGAAGTGAAGTGAGGTGGTGGTATTATCATCCCCATTTTACAGATGGCAAACTGAGGCACAGAGAGAGTAAGGTCAAAAATATCCACTAATTTTGAATGTCCAATTTGAGACACCTAGGATCTCATTTTTCAGAATACTTAGCATTGTACAGCACTTTATATATTCAAACCACAGATCCCATTGACTTCAGTTGCAGCTGGGAGCATTCAGCACTTCTGCAAATCAGACCCCAAGGCCTCAAGTAGGCACCCAGAAAATGAGAAACACACAATCAGTGACCACCTATGAAAAGTTTGGTTTAAGTGATTTGACTAGCATCACACAAGAACACTGTGGCAGAGGCAGGGATAGAATTCAGTTCTCCAGGTCAGCATTCAGCTGCCTTAACCTAGGTGTCCTGCATACAACAGTCTCCTTCAATACAAACCCTGATTCATCCCCAGAGCAGGTCCATTCTGTGCACTGAATGAGGCAGAGGTCCTGTGGAAAAAATAGCATGTGATCATGTAATTAAAGACTATATCATAATGCATATACACAAGGGGTCTGAATTAAGGTTGCCTGGACAACCTAAATTCTAGTATTCCCTAACTTATGATTACTTGACTTAGCAACCTTAATAATGGTCTTTTAACATAGTTTTTTGTCTGCAATTTAATACTTACATTGCAGTAGTTAGGATCAGTGCCCCGTTGTTGCTGGGTGCTCTTCAAATATAGTAAGCCAGTGCCTGCTCAGAGTTTGCACTCTCAAGAAGATGAGTGGCCCAAGAAGGGTAATGGGAGAAGGATACAGTCGAACAAGTAATATTTGTGTTATTAAATATGTATGCAATTTTCTTATAAATTGATAAAGCAAATGAACAACCCCTGCCTCACTTCAGAGCTGACATTAATTGACTGGTTACCTAATTGGGTGAACAGCTTCAAGGGGGGTGGAAAATTTCTCCCATTTGGGACAGAATTTGGTGGGAATCTTATGTAAGTAAAATGGTAATGGGTCAATTATAAATATATAGAGTGATCTGGCTCAGTGATCTGGGGAAGTGGGGGGCAAGGAGGAGCATCTGGCTTTTGTAAATGCTTGCAGCTGGTTTATGACTTTCATGGTTTCATTGTTCTGAATTATAATCAGTGGTGCAGGGGCTCAGTGCTGCTTTCCTTTGTGAATTCTGCCCCTGCCCTTGCCCTTTTCTTCCCCAGTGCTCCACTGCATGGGTGTGTTACAATGAAGCGTGGATGCTGGAAGCCATTCAGAGTGGGGTGGCTTTGACAATGGCCCTCCCCACTGCTTCATGCAGCCAGCACAGCTTTGCTCCAGTCCAAGAGAGCCTTTCTTCAGGGAGGAGGGGAAGGTTTCTACAGGAGTCTTCCTTCCATTATCAGACTGTCTAGCCAATGGTTTGTATCTTTCTCCAAGCCACCTGCTGTTACTTCCTTGGGTCTTTGTAGTGTCTGATGTATTTTTGTCTGTCTTTTTAGTTAACAAACCTGAACCTGGCAAGTGGAGCTGTAAGCAGAGGGAGCACAGTCTCCCCTATCAGCCACCGGTCAGCACTTAACACAGTAGGGTCAATGTGGGCTGTTCAGCCAGATACTTCCACAACTGACAGCAAGCCTACCTCCTCAGCAGTCAGGTAAGTTAATCCGGCTGCTTCTGGCTTTTTAAGGGAGATGGATGCAGTGCACAGGGGCCAGGAGTTTGTTCACTTTCCTCATTAGTTTCTTGCTCAGGAGATCTTTTTTCCAGGTGTAAAGAAACACAGTTCCCAGCATCTCCCAGATCCATCAGAAACACAGCCCGTGAAAATAGCCTTTGATCCCAGGTGGTGGCAGGGCCACGGTGAAGGGAGGAGGAGGGGCTGGGCAGGTTGGATGATTAGGAGATATCTCTCTAAGTAGTTTCCCTCCAAGCACTTATCCAGGGCACTATTCCCTACTTGATGGCACAGAAAACTCCATCAGGGCCTGAGTTTGGTTAGGCTTTTCCCTGGATGCAAAGCTGCGGGGTTTGAAGACAAAGGAATAATCAGCAGAGACCTTCTTTCCCGGGAGTCTCCCTTTGAGTGGTTTCCTTCTGTTCTCTCCTCATTTTTTCTAATCAAAGTAGAGCATAGGAATTTGCATTAGTGGTTAATATACCCCTTGGACTCTGAACAGAGGACTGTATGTGATTCTGATGGGGATAACTGCCCGAGGGTGGTAGAGGGGGGATGTGCCCAAAGGATTCTGAATGGGGCTTTGACTGGCGTTACTGAGGCTAGGAGCTAAGTGGGGCTGCCGTTTTGCACAAGACTGAGTACAGGACTAGGATCCAGGTACTCCTGAGTTCTATTCCTTGTTCAGCCCTGACTACCTGTGGGAAAGTTGCTTCTCTTCCTCCCTTTCTGCCTCAGTTTTTGCCCTGTAAAATAGGGATAATGAGCCTAACCCTCTTAAGTGCTTGAGTTCTATGGATTGAAAGTGCCATGTTAAGTGCAAATAATTAGTAGTGCTTGTTACTAAAAGCAGGAAAGCTGCTGGGTGGTGGCTGATAAAACTTGAGGGGCACAGGAGAAAGAGTGTGCTCTGGGTGGTCCCCCCAAATGGACCCTGCAACAGGAGGATTGAAATCTGTACTGGAAAGCTCAGGCTAAGCGGCTCTTGTTTCACCAGTCAGTGCCTTTCCCCCTGCCTGTAGAAGAGGAATGTGAGAAATGAATTCCTGGCCTGTGCCTGCCCTAGCACAGTGTTTGCCTGTGGGGTTTAGAATTATTGAGAGAGGCAGCAATTCTGTTCTTGGAACCCAGCCAAGGGAATTATTACCTAATCCAAATAAAGAACCTATCCAACAGGTGTACAGCCTCCTTCCTCTCCTGTATAGCCTGCGAGAGCAGCAGAGTGCAGGCAATCCTGTATTGCTTCCATCTCCTCCTCCATGCTGCCCGTACCAATGGGAATGGGCCCCAGTTTTAACAGGGCAAAGGGCTACTCAGTAGGACTCTTCCTTCCTTTGCAGATCTCTGCTGTAGGCCTCATGATCATGGTATCACTCTAAATCAGTTTCACTGTTAGAGGCTGCACGTGCATCAGCTGCAGATCTGACAATCCATCCATGGTTATAAAATCTTCTCCACCCGCATAATGCCCTGCTCTATTCTGGCACAAGCAGCCCCAGAACTATTGCCTCACTCTAATTGTATAGCTTAGTGCCTGTAAGTATTTTTATATATATATATATAGATATAGATATATATGTGTGTGTGTGTGTGTATGTATGTATGTATGTAAAACCCCCAAAATAATTCATACCATAGTGTTTTGCCAGTGTTAGTCATGATGCCTTTGATGAGGCACTTACAATGCCTGTGAGTGGTACATTCCTCCAAAGAGTGTTTGACCTGTGGTGCCTTTATCCCAGAGCACCCAGCAAGCAGGAGAGATGTCTCAAGAGACTCTTCATTTGGAGGGGGGGGGTGTCTTGTCTGCATGGCTGTCTGCATCAAAAGGCCAGAATAATGGAAGCCAAAACCTTTAGATCTGCCTACAAATTAAAAGGGGAATTTTTGAGAGCTGCTGGACAATTCAGAGTGCAAAGTTCTGAATACTGTTATCCACTTCTCTGAAGAAAGACTTGGAGTCATTGGAACTCTCTCTGAAGAAGAGGTCTTGAAGGACTACTCAGAATCAAAGCACATGGAGTTGACCATCTTGTTGTTCAGAGAAATCATAGAAATGTAGGACTGGAAGGGACCTCAAGAGGTCATCAAGTCCATACCCCTTCTATGCTGGGGCAGGACCAAGTAAACCCAGACAGGTACTGTCTAACCTGTTCTTAAAAACCTCCATTGTTGAGGATTTCACAGTCTTCCTTGGAAGCCTATTCCGGTGCTTAACTATCCCTATAGTTAGAAAGTTTTTCCTAATATCTAATCTAAATCTCTTTTGCTGCAAATTAAGATTACTTCTTGTCAGCCCTCGGTGAACATGAAGAACAACTGATCGCTGTTCTCTTTCTAACAGCCCTTAACATATTTGCATACTATTATCAGGTCCGTCCTCAGTTGTCTTTTCTCAAGACTAAACGCCCAGTTTTTTTAACTTTTCCTCATAGGTCAGGTTTTTTAAACCTTTTGTAACTTTTTTGCTCTCCTCTGGATTCTACAGTTTGTCTGCATCTTTCTTAAAGTGTAGTGCCGAGAACTGGACACAGTAGTCCAGCTGAGGCCTCATCACTGCCGAATAGAACAGAACAATTACCTCCCATGTCTTACATATGAGACTCCTGTTAGTACACTGAAGAATATTAGCCCTTTTTGCAACTGCATCATGTTATTGACTCCTGTTTAACTTGTGATCCACTATAATCCCCATATCCTTTTCAGCAGTATTACTGCCCAGCCAGTTATTCCCCATTTTGTAATTGTGCATTTGATTTTTCTTTCCTAAGTGTACCACTTTGCAGTTATCTTTACTGAATTTCATTCATCTTATTGATTACAGACCAGTTCTCCAATTTGTCAAGGTCACTTTGAATTCTAATCCTGTCCTCCAAAGTGCTTGCAACACCTCTTAGCTTGGTGTCATCCACAAACTTTATAAGCATCCTTTCCACTCCATTATCCAAGTCATTCATAAGAACGTTGAATGGTATCTGACCCAAGACAGACTTCTATGAAACTCCCGTAGATATGTTCTCCCAGTTTGACGGTGAGTCATTGATAACTACTCTTGACTACAGTTTTTCAGCCAGTTGTGCATCCATTTTATAGTAATTTCATCTAGACCATATTTCCCTAGTTTGCTTATGAGACTGTCTTGTGGGACAGTGTTAAAAGCTTTATTAAAGTCAAGATATATCATGTCTACTGCTTCCCCCTATCCACGAGGCCAGTAATCTTGTCAAAGAAGGAAATGTAGGTTGATTTAGCATGATTTGTTCTTGACAAATCCATGTTGGCTATTCCTTATTACCCTATTACCCTCTAGGTTATATTCTTGTATTGTCAATGAATAAGCAACCTTGCAGCAATTGTCAAAGGAAAAGCTGGAAGTTTGGCAGTGGTTGGCAAAATTGGTCCCAGGAATTCCCTAATCTTTCAAGGCATGGGAGGAGTGGCTTTGATTCTTGGTATCCAGGAGGCACTTGTAGCTTTTGTTATGAGGAAGGGGGATGCATCTCCTCTTTTCCCATTTTGGGTAGGGTCTAAAATTTATTTAAATTTTGGAGATGTGGGGTTTTAAATTACTGTTTGCTTTCCCAGCAATCTTTGACAGCAACTGGCTGCCTCACTGAATCCCCACCCCCCAATCTCTCTGACTACACCCAAAAATGACAGATAAGCACAATACGTTCTTGAGAGACAGAGTGGATGCCAACAATAGGCAAGCTAAGCACAGATGGGATCAGCTCAGAGGCAATGAAGGATTATAAAAACAAGGACAATCTTCAACTGGATCCTGAGAAGAATTAAAATATGATGAAACTGGGGGCTCTAGTGGTGATGGGAGGAAAGGCAGGTAATGGGGCTGTATTGCTGTGTACAGCTGACCGAGGTAGTAGCATTCTACACAGGCTGGTGTAATGAGCTGAGATTTGGGGAATCCAAAGTATTAAGGCAAGATATGATGACAACCTGGATGGGGATTGAAGCAGGGTTGGGGTCAAGTTGGCTTGGGCAGCATCGCAGGGCGGAGGCGGCAACAGGGAGCCATGGGATAGAGTTTGCTATAGGGGGGCTTCCAGTTATGAGAAAGGGGAGAGTTCTGGGTATCTTAGGAGCCAAGGGCAGAGATTTGGGGTGGGGGCAGGGGCTGTTTTTTGTCATCTGAGACCTGCTCTTTCCTGTATCCCTGTGTCTCAAGGATGAATGTGGAGTTGCTGTCTTTGAGCTGCTTGCTTTAGGTGCCCCACAGTCCTGTGTGAGGAGCAGACAACGTCCCCACGGCCCCATGCCCTGTTTTGCCACATGAGCAGGGCCTGACTGTTTTCACACAAACTGGATGCAGGCTAACTTGAAGGCTGAGGAGCCTGAACTGCAGTGATCCCTCCCAGAGGAAATGTAGGGCAAAAGCAGCAGCTACTGAGTGCTACACAATAGTCCCTCAGTTCAGCCTTAGCAAACTCAGCACTGACCTTCGCACCTCCCTGGTGAGGCAGCACAGAAGTGCCAGAACAGGAGCAGCCAGGTCCACTGACTCCAGCACTGCATCATCTTAACCACTCATCTGTCAAGTTCCCCTGACCCTGTCTGTGCCTTTCCCCTTCCTGGTCTCCTCCCACCCACTCTCTGAGGGCCAGAGTAACAATGGGCTCTGTTTCTCTGCATTGCACAGCACATTCTATCTGCTTCGCACCGCAGTCCCCACACAATTCCCTTTCTTTACACCCCGATCTTATGTTCTTATGATCTCTCCACTCCCACCTACATTATGCTTCCCTCTTGTGCCTGCCAGTAGCAGGCTGTGCTACCTCATGCCTAGGGTGGGGAAGGAAGAGTCTTTAGCACAAGGTAAATCTGGCCCAGGTTATCCTGGTGCTGCTGTCTGTGATTACCATCTATGAAGTCATTGGGAGTGGCCCCAGCTCGGTGTCCTCTGTGGATGCCTTTGTCTTGCTGCCTGCAATGGCCAGCACTGCGTTAGGAAAAATCTCAAG